TTTAGAAACTTAGGCCCAAACTTGCATAAAGAAATTGAGGGTCTTCCTTTACTTATTATTCTAACCGAGGGGATTGAATGACAAAACTCTATCCTCGTATTAAGCTCTTTCCTCGTAGTCTAAAGACACCAAAAGTAGCCTTTGAAATTTTCTATAAAGGAAGATTTTTGAAGAAAATCGAGAACACTAATCCATAAAGTTTCCTTGAATTACTCTTGATTCTTTGCCTAATTTTATAAACAGGCAAAGTAGTGATGTAGGTTAATAACATAACGCCTATGCATATTGCATAATAATTCTTGTCAGATCTTTCATATTTAGCATAGCTTACTTAGTGTGATGTACGAAGGTTTATGCATCAAAGATTATCATCATCATATTATTCTATAACAAGGAATAATCACATTATAGCACAACTTATAAATATGGCATAACACCACATAGGGACATGAGACACGTGTAATCGTACATCATACAATTGTCTCAACCAAGCCAAAAGTCGAACCATTTAACTGAGTAGCTTAAGTCGAGTTGCTAATTTAACTATGGAGCTAGTCCAAATCTATCCTTTGAAATCTAAGTCAATTTATGAGAATTCACAACACCAAATTAGAACACGTTGAACTTTTAATTTACTTTATGCCCACAATTAAACTTATAATTTATCTTAGAATTCTTTAAATGGAGCAAAAAGAGGCATACTCATCTCAATTTCTTTTAGAAATACTAAAATCCGCTTCAAGAGGATAAAAAAAAAGATAAAAAAAAAATAAAAAAAAAGTCTAGAAAACAATGGAACAATTGGATCAACCCAAGCCATTTAAGCCACTTGAAGTCGTAGAGCCGAGCTAAACAATTGCTGAGGAGGAGCGCGGGTCACGACATCAGGTGGAGTCAAGCATGCGAGTTCAAACATGGTTTATGAGGTCTTATGAAACAGGGCCATTATGCATCCAAATTCACTCGGAAATGAAATCTAAACTCAAGGCTATAGATACGATTTTAGTTCTTAGAAAACATGAAATAATGGTTACACCTGGTTTTTTTTTTTTTTTTTTTTTTTTTTTTTTTTTTTTTTTTTTTTTT